CATGTTTTTTGCTTCTCTTTAAAAAAGGAATGTGGGAAAGTGGGTCCAGACCCCAGGAGTCGAGCCCTCATTTCTCTGGCATCTTCCGACAGTCTGCCCCCCCCCCCCATACACGGGCTCTGCTGGCTTTCCAGTGCAGACGGACACCTGGTCAGGTGAGCCAGGTCCCCACCTGGTCCTACTTTTCTGTTGTAACAATGTCCTGGCTCCATTCTCCCCCTGGCTTGCTGGAGGTGACACCCCTGCCGCAGTGGCTCATGGTAATGTCAGTAGCCTGGGTTACCTCGCAGGGAGGTGAGGGCCACTTCTACTGAAATGCACTCTTCCGTGGGCCTGCAGACACCTGACGGGAAGAGGAGGCAAGGCCGTGGAGTCTCTGTCTTCACCTTGTGTCTGTCTGTCTCTCCCTCTCTCTCTCTCAGTACTGGGGATAGAACTCAAGACCCTGCACTTGGCAGGCAGGTGCTTATGCCACTGAGCTATATCCCCCCACCCCCTTTTTTTGTCTTTTTGAGAGTCTGTCTATGCAGTTCAGGCTGGCCTTGAGCTCACTTGTAGCCTAGGCTGGTCTTGAGCTCTCATGAATCCTTCCTGACTCAGCCTCTGTAGTGCTAGGATTGATGCCTCCTGCTTCTTTAACCTTTGTGTCAGAGTCTGCTCAGCTCTGTGTAGACGCACTGACCACCGAGGAGAGCACCTTGTCCCCAACGGTATCCCTAAGCCTTCAACTCTGGGAGAAGAGAGCTGATTTGGAAGCCCCCTCTTCTCACCTTTTGGTCATGACTGAAGCCCTGTTTTCCTTCCTAGTACTGGTCTCTCAGACATCAACTTTTCCATGGGATGAAGCTGGGTGTGGTGGCACATGCCTGTAATCGTAGTATTCAGGAGGCTGAGGCAGGGGGATCTCCTCAATTTCAAGGCCAGCCTAGGCTACATAGTTCATAGTTCAAGGCCAGACTAAACTTCATAGTGAGGCCCTGTCTCAAAAAACAAACAAACAAAACAAAACAAAAACAAAATACCCATGGTGTCTTAGTTACTGTTTACTTGTTGGCTGGGACAAATACCCAACACTCAAAATGAAGGAAGCGAATTGGCTCACCGTTACTGGAGGGTTCAGTCCATGGTCCTCTGGCTCCAAGGGAAAGGACAGCAGTTCATGGGGCAGTAAACAACGAAGAGCAGAGGAGGAGCAGCCGCTGCGGCGCCCATCAAGCCTCTTCCTTCTGCGCTGACTGCGAAGACCGGCGCTCCATGGCGACCGTAGCTCTTCCAAAGTGGCGCGGCTGCGAAGATCAAGCTCCTCCAAAGGCTGGGATTTCTCCACAGAAGCCGGGCTCGGCTCGGGGCGGCAGGAAGCCAGGCAGGCGGCAGGAAGCCCTCCTCAATTCCTGGGCCCTGCCCACCTGAGAACTGCAGAGCGGATTCGGCCAAGTTGCCACAATGTATCAGCTAACACACTTGCTATGAATAAATGGGTCAGTTTGGAGAATTGTCAGATTGTCAATTTTTTTTACTTTCAGTATTGGGGATTGAATACATTCTTTGCATTGACTTATATTCCCAGCCTCTTTAATTTTTTTCTTTAATTTTTTTTAATTGTCTTTTTTGTCCTTTGTGGTGCTGGAAATGGAATCTATGACTCTGCACATACTAGACAAGTGATCTACCAGCAAGCCACATACCCATTCCTAATTTTTTTTTTAAAAGGAGAAAGGTTTATTTGGGTCTTTTTTTTTTTTTCCGGAACCGGGGATTGAACTCAGGCGCTTGCACTTGCCAGGCAAGCACTTATTCTACTGAGCCATATCCCTGCCCCCCCTATTCCTAATTTTTAAAAAATTTTGAAACCTGGTTTTGCTGTACTAGGTTGTCCAACCTAGGCTCAAACTTAGATCCTCCTGTTTTGGACTCTTGCAATGTGCTGGAATAACAGGTATATTCCATACACCTGCCTTTGGTTGGTCTTTAACTTATTTTGATATAACTGTATGCATAAAGAACCTTCAAGCCGGGGGGAGTGGAGCATGACTGTGAGCCCACCACTCAGGAGGCTGAGGCTGGAGGATGTTGTGAGTGTGAGACCAGCCCGGGCTACCAAGTCAGCTCAAAGCCAGCCTGAACTGCATAGTAACACCCGGTCTCAAAACGAAGAAGAAAAAAAAAACCAAACAAACCGAAACACCACACCCAACCTTCACATATTAGTCAGGCAAGGTAGTGCACACCTGTAACCCCAGCACTGAGGAGGCTGAGGCAGGAAGATTGCTGCAAGTTGGCGGCCAGCATGGGCTACATAGTGAATTCAAGGCCACCCTGAATACCCTGAGATCCTTTCCCAAAAAACAAAACACTAGAGATAACATATAATGTATTAACTATTGTTATTTTCCTACTGTTTTGTTGTGAAATTTTGCTTTACCCTTTTTCAATTAAACAAAACCTTTATTTTTATTTATTTTATTTTATTTTTCGGATCTGGGGATTGAACTCAGGCCCTTGTGCTTGCCAGGGAAGCACTTATTCTACTGAGCCATCTCCCCAGCCCCAACAATTCTTTAATTAGAATTGAGAAACAAAAAATTTTGCATATATGTAAAACTGCCATCTGTGAAGCTTTTCCTAGCTCCCTCTGCACTGGGTTGAATACCCCTCCCAAATTCACCGCTCTAAGACGCTACTGAGAAGGGGTCTTCGAGGATGCCGTGGGCCCTGATCCAGTGACTGACATCCCTACGGGAAGGCCAGGTGAAGACAGACGCAGCGAAGGAGCCAGGTGGCAATGGAGGCAGATGGATCCTGTGGCGCTGAGGTGGCCGGCAGCGACTGGACGCGGGCGGTGCCGCAGGGACTCAGCGCTGCAGTCCAGCGCCGACGTCGGACTTCGGCCCCGGGAGCCCTAGGAGCACGTGTGTCTTCCGTTCAGGCCCCCGAGGGGGCCCATTTGTCACACTGTTGCTGGGAAAAGTGCTTCCTTTTATCTGACCCTGTTCTAAATGGTACAGCTATTGAGGAAACCCTACGTGAGTCCTTGAGCTTAGCTTGCCCCAGTCGATTTAAAAATCCCTAAATTAAAGGTCACATTGCTGGACAACAGCTTATTGGTCCCCCACCCGCCGGCCGTGGACAGCACCTCTGCCACGAGCCCTGGGGATCTGAAGGCCACTTGTGCTGAAAGTCCCGATTCTGTCCTGGGGCTGCAGAGACCCGCAGGGGCCCCGCAGCGCGCAGTGCGTGGCAGCTCGGCCTCCACACCGCCGAGTCTTTGGGCGAACAAACGCCTTTTGGCCACCAGCACCGGCCAGCACCGGGCCACAGAAGGAGCCAACAGTGATGGCCCTCTAAGGCTCGCGAGGCCCCAGTGAGAGACACAGGGACCACTTTTATTGGGGTAAGACGTTGAGCAGACCTCTGAGGCGGAGACCAGCTGGGGTGCAAAGCTGGGCTTTTATGGGCTAAGGCACTAGAGCCTTTAGGACGCAGGCAGGACTTTCTGTACATGCAGTCTGAACAACAAAGGGCGTTTGTGTAAGATTAAGGTCTTGGTATGGGACCACTGTGATTTGGGAACAGGAGGGGTTGGCCTTGAAGGCTTGGCCATGAGCTGTTTCTTTTTGTGAGGACCTCTGGAGCCAGTAAAAACCAAGGGGGTGGGAGGCAGTTGTGTGACCAGAGGGTGCTGAGCGTATCGCCCCAACAGCTCCCAGGTCCTTCAGGGGCTGAAGGCCCCACACTCCCACTGCCACCCCACGATGAGAGGGGTGGCACTCAGCCTGGCCGCTGGCGAGACGGAGTCTCACCAAGTTGCTCAGGCTGACCCAGCCCTGGGCCTTCCGGCCTCACCCCATCCTCCCTGAGGTCCGCTCCTTGTATTGTTCATTTGTTTATACTGGTCCTACTAGGCCTGTGGGGAGTTGGTCCCTGTGTAGGACACAACTTAGTTCTGAGGCAGTCTTGCTCTGCACTTCAGGTTGGCCGTGAACTTGCAGTGATCCTCCTGCTAAAAGTCAACTACCCAAGGAAGTGAAGTATTGGGGAACAGAAAAGGGGCAAGGGGCAAGGGATATAGCTCAGCAGTGGAGTGCCTGCCCGGCAAGCTCATGGTCCCAAGTTTGATCCCTGGCACCGCAACAAAACGAAAGAAAAAAATGAAACAGAGAAAGGGCATTCGCCAGCCAGCCCATGGCCACACTGGTGCGTCACACAGGGTGATCCGAACCTACAGTGGTATCACCAAAAATGATGGGACATGTTTGAAGCAAGGGGGAGTATTAGTGCTAATTTATCATTTATTGTAATAAAGATTCCCTGTATTTTTTTTTTTTTTTTTTTTTTTGCGGAACCAGGGATTGAACTCAGGCCCTTGAGCTTTTCACGGAAGCACTTATTCCACTGAGCCATCTCCCTGGCCCCTATTTCTTTTAAAACAGAGCTTTCCACCTATTTGTGTGTCACCCAACTTTAGTACACGAGCCGTTCACTGTAGCTTTGGTCACACCTGTTTTTACTTTTTTTTTGCAGAACCGGGGATTGAACTCAGGCCCTTGTGCTTGCCAGGGAAGAGCTTATTCCACTGAGCCATCTCCCCAGCCCCTTGGTCACACCTGGCACTGTGTCCTCCTCACACCATGATAGTCATTTCGAATGCTAGAAATAGAAGTCTACTTCGAAGCGGAGGGTGCAGCCTGCATCAGAAGCTGAGGGTGCTTGGGTTCCCAGAGGGCAGGCCCGGGCCACACGCAGTCCCTCCCTCTACTAAAAGCCCAGCAGCCGTCAGGGAGGTCCTGGCACAGGCCCCAACCAAAGGTTTAGCAGAGGACAATCAAGGACAGAATGTCCTTTCTTAAAGAAACAACATGTTATCAGTAACTTTCCAGGGACTGGGGAGATGGCTCAGTGGAATAAGTGCTTCCCTGGTAAGCACAAGGGCCTGAGTTCAATCCCCGGTTCCGCAAAAAACAAAACAAAACAAAACAAAAAAAACTTTCCAGATCTTGTCTTTTTTCCAAGCAAATGAATACTTTTATTAACATGGTTAAAGTTTTTTTTTTTTTTTTTTTAAACATGGTAGGGTTTGACCTCAAGTACTCATCAGGTCTGCTACTCAAATAAACTGAACAGCTGGACAACACAGGAACTTGGAAGATGCCTCTTCACTGACCAGGCCAGGTCCAAGGTCGACTGCTCCACGTCTTCCTGCAGTCCGCGAAGGCCTTTGCAAATGGCTTCTGCTTTGCGCCACAACCTCCCGCGACATCAGCTTGTACACACATCAGGATCGCTTGCCCTAGGCTGGGCTCCGTGGAATCAGGGCTGAGCTAGGCTGTCCACACAGACTCACCAGACAGGTCACATCATGCGGTGCAGTCAGAGTTTCAGCTGCGAACAGAACACATCTCTCCTCCTTTGGTCTCACACAGAAATTAAAGTCCTCAGTACAGACAGCGCCACCCCTCCTCCTCCCGTCCAGTAGTCCTCTGGGACCAGGCCCCTCGCACTCCCAGGGGAAGCTGCTGCACAGTCAACTTCCCAGGCGGCTCCTCTGCACCTCCAGAGCCGCAGACCTCGAGTCTCTCACGTCACAGACCCAAAGTGCCAGGAGTGATCAGGGCACACAAGAAAGAGCAAAGCGTCTCAAAAATTTAGAAAGCATAACCAAAGCCCAGAAACCAAGGTGACTGCCGCAAGAGCTTACAATCTAGGCCCTAATTCCTGTATGTGAGTGTTTCAGAAACAAAGTTAATTCCCCAAACAAAAACATCTAACGATCAAAACTTATATTGAGGTCATCAACCACGGGTCAGAGCAGAAACGTAGTGTAAGGAGGACAGAGTGCAGACAGAGAAAGAAGGGAAAACAAAAGGCTCTCTGGTTTCAGCTTCTCCAGGCGTCAGCCAATCTCCATCACTTGGCCAGAATCCATTGGCTGGAAACCTAGGGCACAACAGAGATGCGTGAGCGAGAGGGCTCTCCTTCGGGGAAGCGAACCCACCCACCCCCAAAACTAGAAACCTCGCATGGCTTTCCCCACGACAAGGCTGTCTTCACTGTCCCCAGCGAGGCAGGCTGGGCCTTCTGGCTTTGCTAAGTTGGGACATTTAGGCTAATTACTATTGTTTGGTTACCAGGAATTGAACTCAGGACCTCAGGCGCGAGCACATCCCCAGCTACTGTTAGTTACTTTGAGAAAAGGTCCCATTCCGTAGTCCAGGCTGGCCTTGAACTCCAAGGAGCCTCCTGCCTCGGCCTCCCAAGCGCTGGGATGACCTGCTCGTGTAATTAACTCTACCGGCTGCGCCCTTAGGTTACAACCAAGCTTGCACCTAATTCAAACATGAGCGAGCTAACTTGCTTGCTTTTTTGAGTCAGGGTCTCTGCCTGCCTCGAACTCGCAACGATCCTCCTGCCCCAGGCTCCTGAGTGCAGGGATTATAGGCGTGCGCCAACACGCCCGTTTTTTTTTTTTTTTTTTTTTTTTTTGTAACGGGAATCAAGCTCCGGAGCCTGCGTTGCGAGCTGCTTCCCAAACGGCCCACGAGAGCCACCAGCGCGGCGGAGTGTCGCAACACCCCGCGCGCCGCTCCCGCCCCCGCCCCGCCCCGCGCGTCGCCCCCTCCCGCCTCGGCCTCCCGCCCGCCGCTCACCGCGGGCCCCCCTCACGACGACTCGCCCTTCTCTATCCGCCGCACCAGCTGCACCAGCATCTCGGCCATCTTCGCCACCTCCTGCGCCTTCTCCTCCGCCTTGTCGCCCCGCGGGCCGGGCCGCGCCTGCGCGCCGTCGGCGGCGCTCTGCAGGTGGTTGAGCGCGCTCTCCTCCGAGGCCTCCACCTGCGTCTTGATCTGGATGAGCAGATTGTCCATCTCCCACAGCTTGCCGCGCTCGCGGGCGTGCGCCCGGCCGCGCTCGCGCGTCAGCGCCGCGATGTCCTCGCGCATCTCGTGGATGACGGGCAGCAGGAACTGCTCGAAGTCCTCCTCGGGCTCCAGCACCTCCACCTCCTCGGGCTCCGCCAGCTCCACCACGTCCAGGGGCCGCATCGCGCCGCCGCTGCCGACGTCTGCGGGACGCACAACGCACGCTCGTCGCGCTCGGCGGCAGAGCCCCCACGGTAGCCCTGGCGCACTTTCTCTCTTTCCGCAACTTTTCTCGTCGGAGAAGCCGCGGAGGGCAGCGACTGGCGAGCAGCGAAGCGCCGAACAAAATGGAGTCCCGGGCGTCAAGCAGCGCTGTGCGCGTTGCAGCCGTTTTCACGACGCGGCTGGGCCTCGCTTTACGGTCGCGCTGCGAGACGCTGGCGTGTGCCCGCGCAAAAGGGGCGGTGGGCGGTGCCGCGGGAGCGCGCACGCGCGCAGGCACGCAGGAGCGGTCTCCCGCGCCCGGGCTCGGGCTCACAGTGCCGCGGTCCGCTGCCAGCCCCTGGATGCCCCCTCGTGCGCTCTTCCGATGCCCTCCTTCTCACGTTCCCAAAGGTTCCTATCCTGGAAGAGGAGCTTTTGCGGAGCAGCGCGGTCGAAGGCTGTGGGCCCCCTTCTTTACCCCAGGGCCCCGCTGTACCCCCACCGCCGCCCCCGTTGCAGGGTGCGGTCGGAGCGCCTGGGGCCTCCTCTCCTCACCCAGCTCCCGCGCTCCTAGGGCCTAGCCCCTGTCGGATCCCTCGGGGACCCCGCAGCCCAGGGCTCAGTTGGATGTGGCCGCAGCCCTCCCGCGCCGCCTCCGTCTCCACGACGACGCCCCCCCTCCCTTCCCATGCCCCGCCCCCAGGCTGGCCCGCCCCGAGCCCTTCCCCAGCGCCCCGCACCCCAGCTCCGCGGCCCCCTCTTCTCTGCGCCCGGCTTGGGTCGAGGGCCCGGGCCGGTCAGCTCTGCGTCCCTCCATGGAGCTGAGTTACAGATTTGCTCTAACGCCCACCTAACACAAAACTTTAAAGAAAGAGGTAAAGTTTTAATCTGTTGACCCAGTCACTGAATAGCAATCAGTATTTCTGGAATCTAGCTTGCATAGTTGGTTTGCTTTCCAGTTTATGGGATATAAGTCCCAAATTTGGATGTATAATGTCCACATAACCACAGGAAAGAACCAAAGTCATGAAAATGTTTTGTAAACAGACGTGTAAAGTGCAAGCCAACCCCTCCCCGTTCACACGCCTGAGTCCCCAGCTGAGTCCCCAGCCGATGGCCTCCAGGTGCTGGATTACAGGGGTGTGGCACCACACCGGTTTACAGGCTTTTTTTTTTCGGTACTGAGAATTGAACTCAGGACCTCATGCTTGCCTGGCAGGAGCTGTGCCGTTGAGTTATGTCCCCAGCTCTCCCAACCAGTTTTATTTATTTATTTATTTATTTATTTATTTATTT